TGTCATAATGCATGGATCTACTTCTCATAAGGTGCCACGTGTCCTCTTAAACATTTTGGCAAACGAAATCGTTCCCTCCAAAAATTTTAAATTTCAAACCTTCGACAAACCACCAAACAGCAGAAACGGTCGAAGTCCTTGTTTCTCTTTAATCTTGGTGAGTTCTTCGACTCCTTCCTGTAGCTGCCTCACGCCTTTCGACCAACTTTTGCTTTCAACTTGTTGTTGGCATTTCTTCTTAAATTCCTTTATTTTGCAAGAGGCGTCGAATTTAGGAGCTAACAGTATGCTGATGATTGATATGAGATGCATGAGGGAATGAAACTGGCCAATTAGATTTTTTGTAAGACTTTATTCCTGGTTGCCAACGAAATATTTTTGAGGATTAGATGAAGCCAGGTGAAAGGACTCGCTGGGAATATTGGCATATCAACTCAGGGATTGAGAAAAACAAATGCACTATCGACTTAGGGGTCGAGAACAAATCAAAACAAAAGGTCAACTCGGGAGTTGAAGAAACATTAAGATAAACTGACATCAACTTAGGGGTTGAAAAAGGTAAAGGCAAAAGCACCAACTCGGGGGCCGAGGAAATAAAGAAAAAGGCATCGACTCGGGTGGTCGAGAATAATCAAGATAATATATCAACTCGAGGGTTGAAGAAGTAAAGATAATGATATTGACTCGAGAGTCGAGAAAATAAAGACAGTAATATCGACTTGGGGGTCGAGAAAATAAAGACTATAGTATCGACTCGGGGGTCAAGAAAATAAAGACAACATTGACTCGGGAGTCAAGAATTATAACAAGAAATCGATTTGGGGGTTGAAGAAGTAAAGATATCAACTCGGGGGGTTAAGGAAGGAAATTCACTGAGGAGTGACATCGTCAAAGGGTTGACGAAAAATGATTATGTTATGTATGCATATGGTGCATGTATGTTGTATGTGATGTATATGTGAATGCAAGCAGGTGACTAGTTTCATGAAGGTGCCAACTGGATGGACTTTGGGGGGGTGCCAAGCGAGGTTGGACTTTGAGTTTTGTTTATGATGATGCCAGCAAGGTGGACTTTTATTTTTATGAAGATGCCAATAAAGATTGAACTTTATTTGGTGAAAGGATTTGACTTCCCGAAGTAACACCCTAATCCCCGACTCAATATTTAAAAAAAAGTTTGAATAAAATCAATTATTAGAGTGTCACAAAAACATAAACCTTAAAAAAATCAAATACTCGTGCAAATACGCAGCAGAAATTAAATAAAGTTAAACATGAAGTCTCAATAACAACTCCAACAAAACAAAACAAACAAAACATCACGCAAAGACAGAAGTCACCCATATTCCAAAACTCTTGAGTTGCTTATACCTGATCAAAAGATCAATTCTGATGCCAATTATTGGGTATAAATATTCAGTAGAGAACTGGTCTAGAGGGGGTGAATAGACCTTTTCAAAAAAAATTATCGATACTCAAAGTGAGATATTATAGGTTTTCAAACGCGCGAAAGTCTTAAAGTGAAAATAGAGAATGCTTGTATTGGAAATCAATCATGATTACTGATTCACAATTTACAAATATCACATATCGTTCAAGGACAATAAACAAAACATTGCCTACTTTGTTGAATTAATAAATTATAAATTACACGAGTTATGTCATTTACACAAATTCTTATTGTAAGATTATAACAACACTTGTCCGCAGATTTTAATCACCAATAAAACTCAGTTAGATTCCAATTCCAACAAAACATACAATTTGTAAAATAAATCAATACCAATAGGAATTATTGATAAAATATACGAAGAAACAAAAAACTAACACATGAAATAGCCTATGAAAATTAAATGCGAAAGAGAGAGAGAGAGAGAGAGAGAGAGAGAGAGAGAGAGAGAGAGAGAGAGAGAGAGAGAGAGAGAGAGAGAGAGAGAGAGAGAGAGAGAGAGAGAGAGAATGAGAGAGTACACCAGAATGTATAGTGGTTCGGATCAATCGTCCTCGTAGGATCCTACTCAACTCTTCAATGGTTTCCCATTGGAAGTTGTTTTCTTCCACTATATTTTGAGAAATAACAAACGAGTTCATACATACGTCAATCCGCAATAATGCTGAAGAAAAATATCATATATGGATCTTAACTTGTATACATCTTAATGCTAAACTCTTCTGCAAAATATTTACTCGATTCTTGCTTCTTGAATCTTTCAGTTTCACCAATCTGCTCACAGTCTCCGTATGTGGCAATCACCCTTTGATCCCACTGATTTCTTGGACGATGAATTGTGCGAAGATTGAGAAGAACTTCACCTTGTATGTAGTTTTCCACATAGTCACTTCCAAGGCCAACCTAGAGAGAAGAACATCCTTCTTTTCACTAGAATTTTTCACTAGGCAATGACAACAACCACAATCATGCAAGCTTCCTGAAAATCTTTATCAAACCTTAGAGAATGGTTAGTTTCAAGACAATGCCCCCCCCCCCCCCCCCCCTCAACAATTACAAATCACTCATGATTAAGATCTAAAATCAAAACTAGAGGTTGAAGATGAAAGAATTTACGTTTGCAAGAGTATTTAATTTTTCAAAATGATAGGGTTGTTGATTTCACAAAATCACAATGTAGATTATGAAATTGTTTGATGAAGATAAGATAAAAAAAATAAATTCACATGTGTTGGAGATTATACACACAAAAAGTGAAAATGGATTGTTAGATTCGAGTCAAGAATATTTCATGATTTGAGTCAAATGAGCAAGTAGAGTGAAACAAGATCTCAAAAACAAAAGCGACTCATTTTTCTATGATTCGAGTCATGTTGTTACTCTGATTCGAGTCATGAAAGTTCATGATTTGAGTCTTGTACAAATCTTGACTCGAGTCAAATTTGACAGATCCAAACAGGAAAAAATGCGATAGCTTGTGATTCGAGTCAAGAAGAGTGTGTGATTCGAATCAAATGAGACAATGGCTAACAGAAGGTATGTGATTCGAGTCATGTACAACTTGTGATTTTAGTCACAAACTTTCATGATTCGAAACATGTGTAAATTGTGATTTGAATCACAGACACCAGAATTTCTTTGTTCTCCTCTGTTTGATTTTATTTAAAACATGGATTGTGAGTGACTCGAATCATACACACAAAATCTCAATTTTCATATTTTTTTAAAATAGTTTGAGATTTCACTTCCCATATAACTTGAACCACTTCAAATAAAATTCTTGTTCCATTAACTCAAGCAATTGACTAAGCATAATGATAATACTTAAAACACAAAAACTCTAATTTATGCATGCTAAAACAAATCTATTCAAAACATGATTTAGAGATGTACAATCATGGAGGAGACTCAATAAACAATAATAAAAGAAACGAACGGGATATGACAAGCAACAAAATCGTATTAGAGCTCTCTTCATGAATATATTAGACACGTGCAACTTCAAATAATAAGTCATACTAAGGTACATGAATCTATATTTTATCCTATTTAAATCTAATTTGATCTAGCCTTTTTAATAAAAAGAATGGATTAGACTTTTTTTAAAGCTTATTTAATTTAACATGTCTATTAAAAATAGTTTAAATAGTATATAAAAATCACGTTGTTTATTTAATAAATAAATAAAATAAAGTATTTGAAAGTATTAATGTGAAATAGAATTTTAAATAAGTTTTAAGTCATAACCATACCTTTAAAAATGACAAATCAAGCCAAAGAAAAATGCATATTAGACTATAGGTCAGACACAACTCTTCTAAACCTAGATTTGCAAGGTGTATTTACTATTTTCATCTTAAATGGAGAGAGAATATTTTTCTTGTGCTTGTCTTCATAATGTTTTGAGTTGTGAGTTGTGGTGCTATTGTCCGAGGTTGGTGTTCATCTTTCCTGGATTATTTATCTTCTCGATTATATCATCTTATAGATTAATCTTAAATTGTTATACTGCAAAAGCCAAACTCACAACCTTCACGCACCAAACACCAAATATTTTGGGTATCCCATTGCAAGTGAGAATTCCAATCTAAAATTTAGGGAATCCACTTGTTTACCTACCTATCTCACAAAAATCAAATTTTGGACTCTTCCACCAAACCACTACAATTGCGTCTTTCAACAACTAATTCAATGTTTTACTATCATTAATTACCAACTAAGCCAACGAATTTCTTTCAATCCATGTATCAACATGATGCAAACATAAAAGCTGCCAACTGATCTTAAAAAACCAAAAATCATTAAAAAAAATTAAAATTATTAAATTTGTTTGAATATCATTTTATAAAAATCACTCAAATTTAATCGAATTTTTAATTGATTTTTTAAAACAATCCAAACAAACCGAAACCTGCATATGTATATATTTTAATATTTACATATTTTTTATTAGTATATATTATATTAATTTATTATTAAATAATATTTATTTTGAAAATACTAATTAATTTTATTTTATCTATTTACTTTTATTATTTCTATAAACGACAATTATGTGTTATATATAATATCAAATTTATTATTTATTAACACTTTTATAATATGAATAAAATATATAATTTTTAATTTAAATATTAAAAAACTATCCAAATTAAATCACATAAAATTAAAATCAATTTTTTTACCAACCGAACCGACACCCTCCTGTGAACATATTCACAAATTGCAAAATTCTAGAATTTTAACATATCCATCACAATGCAAATGCTTAACAAAGCACCCACCATATTGGATATTGATGCTGCTGAATAGATCAAATTCATTTCATAATCACTTCAGTGAAAAGCTCATGAATCGTTCTGGTTAAACTAAATACGAGTTAAACACAAAATGGAAATTACTTAATCGTAAATAACTTCCAAATGAGATCAACTAGAATACATACATATACATATTTATTTACTATATATTAAAAGATTAAAGCCAGAACATCTACGAAATTTATCCAATAACAACACTTGTTAATTAATCCCTTGGCACATGCACACCTTCATCCGGCATATGCAAGCCTACAAATAACACACGAAAAATAAATTAGGGGAAACAAATTTGGAATGTCTCGCAGCTAAAATTGTGGTAATTGATTAAAATGAAGTTACCCTAATTTGAGTGATGTGTCTGAACTCTCATAGTCTTGGGGAGGACCAGTGGAGTTGTAAACATTAGTGACAGATTCTGAGGATTGACCTTCTTCAATAACAACATTCTCATATTCAACTCCTCCACCCATTTTGCCGTTATTCACCATGCCCGTCACCTTAGGTGCCAAAACATACCACTGATTTATTAGCAAAATTAAACCTACTAAATATTCAATGCAAAATGTACAAGTTTGCATGATGAATCATCTCAAAAAACTTATCTTAGAAGTTAGAATAGATAGAAATAGAAGAAGAAAAAACAAGTTTACATGATGAAGCATCTCAAAAGAAAAAGAACATCATACATGTCGCTTTAGTCGTTCATTCTCTTCCATCAGTTGTCTTCCCTGCAGATAGATCAAGAGTTATTAAATATTAAATAATATAAGTTTTCCATCAGTTGTCTTCCCTAAAGAATATACAACTTTTAAAATTCAGTATCAGTTTATTTATTTATTTATTTTGACACTATCAATTTTTATTTATTTCTAGTAAATATTGTTTTTTAGTTTGTAGTCTTTGACATCAGATTAAGACGCTTTATTATTATTAATTTAGGACTATAATATATATAGATATTTCATAGAAATGAAAAATGTAGGACAACAATAGTTGTCCGTATATATACAGTTGAGATACATTTTATTTTGTAATTACTTTTTTTTCTATATTTAAAAAAAAAAAGGAGAAATGTGGATAGTATAAAATAATTTTATACTAAACAGTTACAAAATGTTTTAAAATTATTTTTATAACATGAAAAACCGTAAATTTTAATCGAACGATTAAATAAAACTATTTTATACGGTCAATAAATACCTATTAAACTCTTATTTTATCACATCAACAAATACAAATTGTGATTTTTATGCGGTCTGTTTACCACATATGTTAACAAAATTAAGTTCAAATTCAAAATCTAACACCTGAGCTGAGGCAAGTTATTAATCATATTAACAGAAACTTTAGCTCATGTTATCAAACCTTTCTTTGGAGATTTTGAATCTCCGTCATAATCTTCTCTCCCTGGAAAGAATAAAAAAAACACAACGTTTTAGTTAAATATAATCATAAAACAAAATGAATAAATAAAAGAGAAGGTAGAAAAATTGAAGACCTTGTTTTCTATTACACGACCCAAGCCAATTTCAAGAGACCTCTCCAATTGTTGCAATTGTTCAACATTCATCCCTTGAAGATCCTCTCCCCTCATCTGCCTCAGTTGATGACTCTTCTCAGCAATTTCCTTGTTCAATCTCGTACAGTTGCTGTTTTCAACTAGCTGCACCATCAAAACATAAATTACATACAATCTTAAACTTCAATTATGTTCATTTTTTTCTTGGTCGGCAGGCAAAATGATAATAACCACTAGAAACTCCCACAAACAACCATGAGTACCAGAGTTTGAACCCTGGTGATGATGTCACGTCTAACCTAGCAATATCAACTAATTTCAGTTGAGCTAGGATTTGCAGACTCAATCATGTTCATTTTGTCACAAAAAATGGTGTGCCAATTAATAGAACTAACCTGCAGCTCGAGACATGGTTCTTCCATCTTCGCCAAGTTCTTCGAGTGCAAATGATGCCTTTCAAGTATTTCCCTCATGCTAATTCATACACAAATATATCAAACTCAAATGCTGCTAAATCTAACACATAAATCACAAACATTTCAGATTTAAAGTGTATCTTCAATCTCCAACACATGTGTCCATGTCTATGTCCATACTTTACCGAAACAAACCTTTTCAACAGATCTATTTAAGCAAACATGGATCATTGCATCATGCTAATAAAACGACATTAATAGTGTGAAAAGAGACCGACCTTAAGTTGGAATATTCGAAGAGTTTCCCAGTAGAAGAGAAAATGATGAGAGCAACATCAGCATCACACAGAATGGAAAGCTCTTCAGCCTTCTTGAACAAACCTCTTCGTCTCTTTGAAAACGTCACTTGCCTCGCCGTTGCGTTCTCGATCTTCTTTATCTGAATCTTCTCCCTCGCCATATTATAAATCCTTTTACCTTAATTTATCCTCATTAGGATAAAAAAATAAAAACAGAAACAAACACCTTTATTTTTTTGCTATATATATGAAATAAATATATGAATGAGTACTGAGTTTAATAAATGAATGATAATAACACGGAGAATGAACCAGTGTATAATAGAGAGAAAGAATGAAAACCAACCTAAAAAAAAGAGACAAAAGCGAGAGAAGGTAGTTGAGATATGTAGGTATTTAGCTGATTTTAGTTTTGTTTAGGAAATTGTAGTGTCTGAAATTGATAGTTACTTCCTCTTTGAGATCCTGCAGCTAAGAAACTGATGAACAAAAGGGTGGTTTTTTAGTTTTTGGAATTGTGGTGAGGGTTTGTTGGGAGGAAGAAGAAAGAAGTGTACTTTGTGGATTTTAGTTTCCTTTTTGAGGGGAAAGGCGTTGGTAATTGGAATAGTAAAGAAAGAGAGAAACGTGGGATTGGATTGTTTGGCTCGTGAGGGTGAAAGTAACGAATGAAAAGTGAGAAGAGAATGAGTTTGTGTGGAAGTGTGATAAAAGTAGAACCCTTTATGGCAAAACAGCGAAAGTGTCTCGCTCGTCTCCCAAAGGTCGCAGGGTATGAGTATGACCGATCACTGGATAGGGTTTTTTTAAATAAAATATTTGTATCTTTTTTAAATATATGAATATAAAAAGGAACCTGTATTTTTTCTATTTGTCTTAATAATTGTGAATAATTTAGTCTATAATGCAAATAAAAATTAGTCATATATAAATCAGAAATATTAAAAGTACTTTCTTTATCTTTGATCTTAAGTGATTTTTATCTACAAATAAATCTCCTTATTTGATGAGTTGTAGAAAGCTGCTCAGCTAAAATCAAACTGTATTTTTTACTGTATTTTTTATCGTATCCACAAAGAGTAACCACATTTTTTTTCATTAAGTTATTTGTATAATTCGGTGTTACAATTGTAAATGTTTCGTTGCATAAATTTACGCAATAAATCAAAGTTAAGGAAATTCACGGATTAAGAACAAATGTTAAGATTTTTCTTTATTAATAATCATTCTTCTAATGTATCCTCTTAATAGATTGTATATTTTATGGCTTTCAATTATAACTTCATTTTTTATTCACATGTGATCTACTATCAACCCTTCAAAATAATATTGCATAACTTTACCAACTTACCCTTCCATTCATTTTAATTTACACATGTGATCTACTAGCAACCCTTCAAAATAATATTGCATAACTTTACCAATTTACCCTTCCATTCATTTTAATTTACACTAGTAATTGGACAATTTAGTAATTAACAAATATCACAATTAAAACTTTATCAAACCTCTTATTTCTTGACAAGTGGCGCACACTCACTACCTCAAAATTTAAAGTTTCCTTTTCAACCAAAACACAACCTCTCTTATCATACTTTTCTCTTTCTTCATTTCTCACACTTCTCTCTCTCCCCCATTTCCTTCATCTTTGTCCCGTGAAACCCTAAATAGCGACCGTCGTCTTTCTTTCATCAATTTATTTTTTTCATTCATCATCAAAAACATTTTATTGTCTCTTTCTCTTTCATTCAACTTCCTCTTTCTCATCTCTCTTTTTTTACATTAAATTTTGATGTTTTCTCATTATTTTATATAACAGATTGATTTTGAAGGATTTGCAAATGGGATAATCGCAAGCATGATTGGAAACATAATAAGGTTGCAAGGAAGTAATTTGAGACAAATTTAGAAGGTTTTTGGTTCCTTATCTTTTATTTTCTGTTTTTAATTTAAATATTTTATTTTGTCACAAAAGATTTTTGTTAATGGATTTTATCAAAGTTTGATGCATTGTTGTTCTGTGATTACTTCCTTATGCGTTGTTTGATGCAAGGAAGTTATTGCTTTTTCTGACCCTTCATGAAATGTTGCCATTGTCTTTTAATAATGTTGAACAAAAGCAATTTGTCAAGGCTGAACTTTTTGGGATGGCTTTCATGTTTGCAATGTAGTAATCTCATTTCTAACAATTTGTATACTCTTATGGTACATTTGGAAGGATTGATGGTTATATACTTTGAGTTTGGGTTTTTTTTTTTCATTTTTCTTCTGTTCTATAGGTTATATACTCTTAGGGTACATTTGGAAGGATGGTTTTCGAGAGGATGGACAAGCTGAACTTTTTGGGATGGCTTTCATGTTTGCAATGTAGTAATCTCATTTCTAACAATTTGTATACTCTTATGGTACATTTGGAAGGATTGATGGTTATATACTTTGAATTTGGTTTTTTTTTTTCATTTTTCTTCTGTTCGATAGGTTATATACTCTTAGGGTACATTTGGAAGGATGGTTTTCGAGAGGATGGACAAGCTAAACTTTTTGGGATGGCTTTCATGTTTGCAATGTAGTAATCTCATTTCTAACAATTTGTATACTCTTATGGTACATTTGGAAGGATTGATGGTTATATACTTTGAATTTGGGTTTTTTTTTTCATTTTTCTTCTGTTCGATAGGTTATATACTCTTAGGGTACATTTGGAAGGATGGTTTTCGAGAGGATGGACAAGCTTAATTTTTGTTTTTGAAAACGGATTTAGTGTGCTTGAAATGTTACATGATCATTCATTATGTTATTACGTTGGTTATGATTCATGTTTTCAGGTATGTTGATGAATGTATGAGGTATATAAGATTTATTTTACTTCCTTGTAGGTTGAGCAGTTGAATCATATTTTTAAACTTTGTGGCTCACCAGAAACAACACAATTGGGAGCTTGAATCATAATGATGTACCTGCAGTTGACGAGTCTGACCTGTCCCTGAAGAAGTTTGAGGAATATCAATCTGAGCTTCACGAACTTCAAAAGGAAAAGGTAATTTGGTTGTCATGTCTAAGTTTATTTCAGTTAGTTTTCTGAATGAAAATCCCATTTGATATCGTTAACTAAGCATTGAGAATTTTATTGCATTACTTTGTTTGTCAGAGTGACAGATTGCAAAAGGTTTTTGAATTGGTGAGTACTGTGCATGATCTTTGTGTTGTCCTTGGTATGGACTTCTTCAGTACTGTAACTGAGGTTCATCCAAGCCTGAATGATTCGACTGGTGTTCAATCTAAAAGTATAAGCAATGACACTTTAGCTAAGCTCGCTAACACAGTCTTAACGCTGAAAGAAGATAAAAAGCAGAGGCTGCACAAGGTTGTTAACTATATGCTTTCAATTATTTGTAACTTTTGCATATTGTGGTTTTTGTTTCACAAAATATGTTTATCACATATTTTTAATATGTTTATCTCAAAATATGTTAATTCATACTTAGAAGTGAATATGGGTTTTTAGACTATGGTATAATTTTTATTTTACTTCAACCTGTCCAACCCTGCATCTCCAAGAATTAGCTTCTCAGTTAATTGATCTTTGGAATCTAATGGATACTCCTCAAGAGGAAAGGAAATTGTTTGACCATGTTACCTGTAACATCTCTGCTTCTGTTGATGAAGTCATTATTCCTAGTTCCCTTGCCCTGGATCTGATTGAGCAGGTACTAGAGACTTTTTGAAAGTAAAATGCCTTGGATCCAAAAATTAAGCTAATTGGTTGTTTTGTTCTTATTGTGAAGGCTGAAGTGGAAGTTGAGAGACTTGACCAACTTAAAGCAAGCAGGATGAAGGAAATTGCTTTCAAGAAACAATCAGAACTCGGAAGAGATATTTGCCCATGCTCATATAGAAATAGACTCAGATGTTGCAAGGGAGAAGATCATGACATTAATTGATTCTGGAGACATTGAACCAACTGAATTGATTCTAAGAGATATCTTCATTTTTTCTTGAATTTGGCATGTTTTGGAAAAGTGATTATTATGTTGGTAATTGTTTTGATTAGAGGAAGTTGTTTGTTTAAGTTTGAGATAATCTTTGGGAGATTTTGGAGTTATGGCTATGCAAAGGCTGTATCTGAAAGAACATGAAGGGATTGCACACAATTTTGTGGGACAATTGTCGTCTGGTAATAGTGGTTCAGCAACAGCACCATGGTGGAGTAGTTTTGGATCTCAGTCTGTTTATGGAGAGATTGGTGGTGGACAAATCAAATCGTTTTCATTGGATCCGTCTTTCGCGGTTGTTGACCAACTTGCTGGAAATAAGCAGTCTGGTAGAGGAGCTGAGCATGTGATGGGGAAAGGGCATGGCAATCAGTTTACCATCTTTCCAGGTAAGTAGTTTGATTCTGAATTTATCTATCTCGTATGAAGTACAGACATAGACACTGACACATCTACTCTGGTTGAAAAAACGGAAGTAGTTGGATATAATCGTATATGTTTGTTCCATATCAGTGTCTGACGCTAACACTTGTCACACATCTTTGATATGAATAGTTGGTTTTACATAATGTATCTCTCTATTTATTGGTCACTTGTATTTATACCATAGTATGTTTGATTTCACGGTTGGAGCATTTATAGTTGATTTTGACATGTTTGGTTGCTCTCTAGTAGAATTGATTATGTTTTTCAGAATTGATTTTATTAGAAGCTAAGATTTGTAGCTTTTGAGTGTAAAGTAATTTTTACATTGAAATTTACTATTCAATTCACTTTTGCAAGAATGTATCTAAACGCAAATCATCTTACCTTCAACTCACTTTCATTTATAATCAATTTTACAAAATCATTTTACTTAAAATTATTTTTTTTTTCATTGCAAAACTAGACACACTTTGGTTGGTAAAGTTGTGACTATTGGAATATATTTGGATTGATTTATTTGAGCTTACTAATTAGAATAAGGAGTTGAGAGAGCTTATATCCCTTAATTGTTTTCAGGTTATTTCCATAAACTCTCTATGATAGTTTATACAAATAGTTCATAACTTATATGAAAATAATTTAACTATATTTTGCGTGTGTTTGGTTCTATTTTAGGAGGAGGTGAAATTGATTATGAAGTGTATAATTGATTTTTACATGTTTTAGATGTTTTAGAATAGAATTGATTTTTGCTTCCATAATTGATTTTAACTTGAAGTTAGAATCTAGAATTTTTGCCTCTACAATTGATTTTTAGCCTTCAATGTGTTCATCAACTCAATTTACATGATTGTATACAAACATATATCATTTTTAGCCATAATCAATTTTACAAAATCAAATTCAATTCAATCAAAGCAGAGGAGATTTTCTTGTGCCTAACCATTCTGATGTTTCTTTTTCTTCAGATGATTTTAAAATGTCGGGTGATGCGCAAAAGCCTCATACAGCCATATCACTACAGTCATCACTCCCCGATACCCCGACTCATTTTGAACTAGGATTTAGTCAGCCAATGGTAAGACTTCCCTAAAAAATAACTACTACTACTACTACTGTTTTTTTTATATAAACAAAAAGGTACATGTATTCGGTCCAAATACTTCGACAAATTAGTATTTTATATGTAGACATGTTTTACTTATGCTTTGCATCTTTTCGCCTTGTAGATCTGTACGAAATATCCTTACGTAGATCAGTTTTATGGACTCATTTCAACTTATGGACCTCAAATTCCGGTTCGTCGTTTATTTCGCAAGCTTTCACGTGCGTTTGTTTATCAATTGATGATCTGTTATTAATCTGTAACTAACTGATTCATGTATATGCTCATATGTAACAATGTAGGGACGCATAATGCTGCCACTTAACATGACATCTGATGATGGACCGATTTATGTAAATGCGAAGCAGTACCATGGAATCATTAGACACCGGCAGTCTCGCGCCAAAGCTGTTCTTGGCCAGAAATTGATCAAACGTCGCAAGGTATGATTTCATGTATGGTTTTCCTAGATTCTTTTTTTGCAATACTTAGAGGACCTTCCTCAAGTGAGTGACATGGATTTCCATATTTCGGCTGTAAATCAAAATGCCATAAAAAACCCCAATACAAATTTTCTAAGAACTAGCTTGAGTATTTCATTCGTGAATGATTGGAATGTAGATGGTGCACATTTGTTTTGAATATCAAGTAGACGGTGCACCTGATATTCCAAAAGGCATTATCAGAAACTCTTAGTGCCCTGTTGGGTCTAATACTATGTGTATGGCTTGTGGTAATCCTTGGGTGCTTTAGAAACATTTTCAAGCTCATGCAGAACCCCTTCAACATCCTCTAACATTTCTTCTTTGCAGAATAACCTGTTATGGCTTGCAGTCAACAATTAAAATCTGCATAATATTGAATCACATAACATTGGCTCCTTACTTGCTGTCTTTTATTAAATCACATAATATTGGCTCTGTTTTGATTAACCAGCCAATCATAAGTTTAAATTATAACATTTTATAACTCATGTGAAAATTGCGTCACAGGGGAAAAACATGCAGTGGCAGCCTCAAGTAGCAACGACCAGACTTCTCTACCGAAAATGCGGATTTCATTATGAATGAGCAGCAACAACAACATATAATCCAAGGGATCGGTGTTGGTATCCTTTGCCGTATTCTAGAATTTGATTCATTTAATTCATTTGTATCAAATTTAAATGAATCCAAGAGATCGGTGTTGGTATCGGTGAGCAGCAACAACAACATACAATTATAGTCAAATTTAATTCATTTAATAAAATGATATTGTAAATTTTTAATCAATTTTTTACTAAGAATTAAGATGAAGTTATAATGCGTTAAATTAAATATATACGTTAATAATTAGACTTTTAAAAAGTTATTTTTATGAATCTTTTATTGAGAAACTACATTTTAATTTTAAATAATAATTAAAGAATATGGCTAAAAAGTTTTATGTTTTTTTTTACATGAATACAAAGTTGCAAGCAAATGATATATTAAAAAAAAGTTTCTCAATATTGTTTTTAAAAATTAAACGTAATTTTTTTATTTTATTGATCAATTATTTTAAAAATTATCTTTATTAACTACTTAATTAAAAATGATTATTTATCAAAGATGAACATATAATTTGCTTTAATAAATATTTATTGTATAATTATATATATAATAAATGTTAAGTTACCAAATTTTTCAAGAAACCATTTTTTTTAAATATTACTTTTTCAAATTTTAAAAGGAAAGTAAATTTTAGAAAATTTATTTTGTGACTATTCAAAAATACTACAAATAAACAACATTATGATGGTTAAGATACACATAAATATATGATAATAAATTTTTTTATTGCACGAGCCACTATCATTATATAACAGATTTATTTTAGTTAATATCTATTTTTATTTGAGAGATAAATTTCTTATTTTTAAATGTAAAAAATTAACTTTTATTTTTATTTATGCTTTTCACATGTTATTTTCTATACTGTTGTTCAATACACTTAAATTTATATGATCAACGTTTATTTTATAATTAAATAATTTATTTAAAATTTACATGCCAATTTAAATACAATTTATATTGTATCAAATAAATTTATTCGTGCTAGCTAACAAATAAATTTCAAGTTAAACTTGACTTTTATATATGCTATTTTAATTAACAATTACACTTATTTGAGATATAAAATATTTATTTTTAAATATTTATTTTTTGTTTTTTTTCTTCATTAGACATGTCTTATTTTTATTTTTTCAAATGCTTATTTAATACAATTGATTTTATATGACCATTAATCATTTTACAATTAAGTAATTTATTTTAAATTTACATCTATGTCTAAATAATTTAATATCATATCAACATTTGTTATATTTTTATTTATTTATATGTTTTTATTATGGATCATTAACAATATTTGTTAAATATATCATTGTCTGGAAGGTATAAAAATATATAGTGCATGGATCATCCTAACAGTGAATTGTTGGGCTTTTCTGACGAAGGATTTGGGAATTTTGAGTAATAACTAACATCCTCAAAATTCAGTATTAGTTCAATATATGTCTAAGACACTGTCATGTATATACAAATTGAATCTGATATAGATTGATAATAAACAAAGGCTACTATTGTTTTTTTAAGCTTATATCTTTGAATTATAGATAATATTTAGCTAATGTAATGTAACAGTTTTATGTCTGTAGGCAAAAAAACAAGAGATTCATCATATGGGGTTTGCTAATATTGTCAAATAACTCAAAATTTGATGTATTTGATCTTTTTATTTCATACAAACTTACGATAAAATTGTATGTTACTCTATTACTCTAAAAAATGAATCATGTATAAATATTACTCTAAAAAATAAAAAAGTCTAAAATCTTGATTATGTATTTCAATCTTTTCACTATAATGTATAAAATGTTATTGAACTATTTCATAAAGTTACACGAGATATAATCAGTTAGATTCAAACAAATAAAAACATGCATAAATATTACTCTTAATATACATTTGAGTATACTTTTTTTTGTAAAATTTGAATTCGATAAGATTATACTTTTTCTCATACCCGTGCGGACGCACGGGTCTTCTACTAATTTGTTACCAATAAACAACGTGAGTTCTATCGTACTTATTAACTTTTGATTCCTCACACAGTTAATCTATATGAATAGCATTGTAACGCGATAAAGGTAAGCCTAAATTTTTTCTTATTAACTAACACTCACATATGAATTTATATTATATGTGTTAGTTAAAAAGATTTTCAAGCACTCAATAATTCAAAATATTGCTTTCAAAATTGTCAATTTGAAAAGGTATTAAAAAGAGAGAATAAAAACATCAAAATTAATGAAAATAAGATTTTCTTTAATCATTTTGATCAAGAGTTTACGAATAATTATTAGCACATAATCTCAACATATAAAGGATTTAACTACTCATACTCATGGTAGTCTTGTGAAGAGATGAACTGAAGATGAGGATGCATCCAAAATTAATTATTCAAGCTCTAAATATTATCTAATTTGTTGTGACTCCCTTCTTTCCCCTATGTTTATTGTATGAAAAGAGAAATGTCCAACTTTATATTTTGATTGGGCTTCACCTAGTAAGTGGACGTTTCTTTATGATGAGGTATTTATAAACTCTTCTTGAAGTCATTAAAATTGTCTTGAGGTAATTTAAGTTACTTCATACGGTATAAAAATAGAAATCATTTGTTTTTATACCATTAAACTATTTCTTGCCTAGGCCGACAAGCATATTACAAATGGTCTAATAAGGGTGTTGGCCCATAACATAGAAGACTGAGTTTGCTCTTTAAAGTTGAAGGTCATTAGATCAAGATCAAGAGATCAACAAACACAATAAAAATAAGTGTCTCAAAGAAGAAGATCTTAATACATTAGGAACACGTGTGATCTGGCTCTAGGAAAATATCTAAACAAGGCGAATAGATAAAGGAAATCGTCAAATCACAAAATGAATAGTATACTGACACATGTCTCGTTTGACAATTATTCTTCAAAAGAATTTTCAAGATCCCCAAAACTCTATAACTTGACTACAAAATGAAGGAAGTGGATGAAGATAAATTACACATTTTTTAAACCTAGAATGCCGCTTACTACCTCTGATAGTCACTAACTTAGGTGTTGAAGTGTTTGAATTTATCACCCCCTAATGTCAAACTGAGATAACAAAACATATGCTACTAGCCAAAAATACACCATAAAATATGGACCAACAAGTATAATGGTGAACACCTCGAGTGTACACAAGATCATTGGCGGAATTTGTGGACACTTCATTTCTTTACGTCACACTGAGATGGTAAGTTCTAGTAGAGGAAACTTTCAACATAGTCTTCTAGAAAAAGTTTTGGCATAAACATTGGATAAATGTATTTGAAGGAGTCACCCGAAGAAGACGGTGGTGAGGGGAAAGAACTTGACATCTCCTACACCCCTCATCAACACTCCAAGGAAATCTTCAATTGGTGGGATGACATTTTAACCATAACATTCGTCAATGGATAACTATGTACTATTTCATATGACTTACCCGTAAATTCTTTCTACAAGAACAAGGCAGGAGCCCCTATCTGATCATTTTTCGTCGTCGACAACCCACCTCATTATGACATGAACGATTATTTTCTATTGAGAATTTTTTTTGGTAAATGCTTACTTCTTAGGCTGGGTGAGGCAGGGTTTAGCATTACCATCCCCCCAGACCCAGTCGAGGGCACAAACTCACCATTGCCGATAACAAGGAACGGGTTTTCCTGCCTCGCCCCACCTGCATAAATTGTATTTTTTTTAAGGGTAATGCTAACTTGTGCCCCAAGGGCACAACTTAAGACATAAATATAGTAAAAATTCATTAGAAATTGTATGGTTACTTTAATACAAGTTTATAATTAATGATTTAATTGTTTTTATAATACAAGTCTTCTATTCGTGTGTTTTTTAACATGTTCACAAGGGCACAAGTTACGAGTAACACCCTTTTTTAAAATGTTTATTATTTTCATAATAATAAAAATATGTAATTAAACTAAATATTTGATCATTTTAAAAATAGTTATAATACTTGTCCATTTTTATTTAATTTGTATTAAAAAAGTAATAATAATTATGAAAATTTTGATAATTTAAAATTAAGAAAGGTTAATGGTAATAAATTTATAAAAAATAAGGATAATAAATTAATTTAAATGGGTGAGTGTGGGGCAGAGGCGAGTGTGGGGTGGGTACTAGCATCCCCCGCACTCGCACCCGCCCCTGTAATTAAAAATCGGGTTTTCTCCACACCCGACCCACTCCCAATTTAATCGGTTTTTCCACGTCAGATTTGAGGTGGGGGCAGATGGGTCCAGACGGGTTTGGATTTTTTTTGCCATGTTATTGAGAATTCACTAACCCACAAGAGACCTCCATTTTTGTTCTACAAAGACAACATAGCCATAGGCGTCAAAAATACCATGTAGCCATTCTTATTAGAGTAGTGATGGAATTTCAAGATTTTTAACATGTGTTAATGGACCAATGGAGCTCGTGCAAAATCATGTGCGCGTAAAATTACAGTAACTTAGGCCTGAAATAAATTATACAATTGTATCATGTGGGGGACTTCCAAGGTTTTGACGGAACCAACACATGAAACTCGAGGTACGTCAAACTCCTAATGCCATTTGGGATCGAGGATCATCAACATAAAGTTTTTCATGATTATATGTGATTTTGTTTATAATTTAGTTTTGGGAATGCCAATATTGGTAGCATTGGGTGTAATTTCATCAACCATTCATATGAAGATAATTTTTCATACCATGGTGGACTGATTCATGGTTTGAGACCAAAAAGAATATATAGATCTAGATGTTGACCAAGTGAATCCAAACACAATAGAGGGTTGAATGGTGTTATTTGAAATTCGAAAATAATTTATAAAAACTATTTTGGGTCGGTCAAAGGCCTAATTCATTTCAAATCCATTCCATGTGGCCCAAGGTATAAATAAGTTTACACGAGAAATCAAGATACATTCTCTAATCTCTATTTTTCATTATACTCATCTTGAATCTT